GTGGCGGTCTTTTTCAAGGCCTGAAGAAGCCAAGGGCATGTTCCCCAATTGGAGACGGCTCCACCGTAGGCTGCGGGACAGCTAGCGGAGGAGGGCCACCCCCAACGCCGGGCTTCAGGGACGCGCCGCACTCCCCCCCTCCCATACTATTGTAAATAAGTTAATATTGATAACAATATACAATAAGCACGAAGTATTACTATAGTTGTTATCGTTACCGCTCATTAATTCCTTAAACTTTGTTATTTACCTGTTAACCACTGCAATTGTGAATTCATTCATAAGGAGTAGGGACACCTATACTACCACCCCAACCTGTTTAGTGTACGGAGCCTGCTGAATTACCTTACCAGGGCAAAACGCCTATCAACTGGTTCGGTTGTCCTGTGGAGGCCTCCCAGCGCAACACCTTAAAGGAATTGTTCCAAACAACCTCTTGGCGCTCATGGGCCAGTCCTATAATTCACCATCCCACAAAGTGGAAAATAAATTTCCATCCAACAAGGACACCACTGCTTCCAACACCCAAATTTAAAAAACACTAGCAACTGGTGAATCCTTGAGGACAGCACTTTAAAATCTCTACAGGCAAAGATTTTGAATAAACTCAAACCCTACTCTAGGAAAGAAGCTCCAAAATATTTTCTGAGATTTTTTTTTAAATGTTTTTAATGTTTCCACTAGTGAAATCCCCAAGAGGTAAATTCAGTACCTGACGGACTACTCCCAAGGCTTCGTGGCTTAATGACACAGAAAGGAGCCCTGCAACCTTTCTTTTGATGGATTAAAAACAAGTTCTATGGTCCCCAGAGACAAGAATGAATTGGCCTGCTGTTCAAATAAGTTCTGAGAGGGGTCCCTGAAAAGAAGTGTGGAAGGCAAGATAGTCTGAGATAGCCTATGAAGCTGCACTGCATAGTTGACTGGTAGAAGAAGAGGTAATTGGCACAAACTGAAACACAGGAAATTCCACTTGAACACAAGGAAACGCTTCTTTACTGCAAAGGCAGTTGAACACTGGAACAGGTTGCCTAGAGAGGTTGGGAGTCTCCATCCTTGGAAATATTCAAACCTGACTGGAAATGGTCCTGGGCAGCCTGCTTTAGATGACTATGCCTGAGCAGGGGGGCTGGACCAGATGATCTCCAGAGGTCTCCTCCATCCCCAAGTATTCAGTGATTCTGTTCCTGTTGAGAACTTCAATAATTCAGTCTATTGTGATTGGTTAACCTTACACTGCCACAGCAAACTACACAACTGCTGAACAAAGGCAGGTATGGAAATGATAATGGAAGAGAAAGAAGATAAGGGTTTAGGAATCAGGCCAGAGGATTTCCAGTGGCTGAACCTTAAATTGGGCTTTCCTCCTGAAAAGTAAATAGTTATATCTAAAGGACATTTAGTGGGGACCAAAGGGATACATCACTCAGATCTGAAGAGTTCAGAATTTTCAGATGGAAGGTCCTCCACTACAACTCACATTTCCCTCAAGAAAACTGAGGTAGTTATTCATGATTGTCTATACGTTGCCACCATGTTGGCAACAAATCTGTCTGCAAAGTTACAATACCAGTGTCATATGGAAGGATACCTTTAGTTCCTGTTAGGTTTCTGATTATGCATAAGTCCCCTCTTGTACCCACAAGACAGAAACATTCTAGATTCTCCAGAGGATCCAAAACCTCATGGTTGTATCTGGAAAACAGTGCCAGATGATCTGTCACAAACAAAAATTCCTGAATAGCCTTTATTTTCTACATGAGATCCTACTTCTTATACCCTTTGCCCTTAAGTACAAACACCACAGAGGGGCCTATTACCTGAAAGTATGGCCATGAACAAAGAAAGACTAGGATGGAAAAAATAGATTCATTCTTTATTAATGCTGAGCACTACAACTGATTTGTGTAGCTCTATTGCTAGACAACAGCAGTGACTGTTAAGTGGTGCACAGTAACTAAAAGTCACCTTATTGAGCCAAAGACTCTTCCCAGTGGACTATGCCTTCATATGTCCAAGAGACTGGTTCAATTTGATAAACTCCTCACAGGAAACGTATGAAGTGTGGAACATCCACGGAAAGAAAGTTGCACAAAACTTTTCAGAGGCTACTAGAGGTCTGTTCCTTGGATAACACTGCTGAAAGCCTCCTGTCCATCTTGGGAACCTCAGTAAAAGAAAAAATGTCTGGACAAGCAGGAATTAAAATATTCAGGAAGTAGACACCAATACAGATAGGCCGAGTCAAGATCTTGCTATCAAAATCTTTGTGCTGAAGAGGTAGATTTGACAAAAAGTATATTTTTCGACCTTTGGCATATGTGGGAGAAAGCCCCAAGAGCAAGGACACTTACGTATGAGACCAACAGTACTTCATTTGCTTGCAGTACTGTGAAATGTTCCTATTCACAAGGAGGGAGGATTAATTTTCTAAGCAGCTTCCAAGGCAAAAAACTGGTCAGTGTCTGGCCTTGCAACGTGAAGAAATACTTCAAGAGAGAAGAGAGGCTGAAATACTGGAGGACAACTGTCACTGTGCTTAGTACTGGCAATGCTGGACTTTGCTCCTTCTCTTCGTCAGGCACACACAGGATATGACAAAAGCAAAGACGACTTTTGGCTTTTTGACTATGGTATCAAGAGGGAGCAATGTTCAATGATGACTGTTGAATATTCCAAACAGGGCAGGGAGGGTCCCAAGTCATCCATTCCTTGCCTCATGGAATGCTCTTGAAGCAGAGGAGATAAGATGATCACTGATGTCAAGACAGGATTGACCTCTTCTGTACAGGCTTCAACTATTGGTTCCAAAATAGGAGGAGTTGGGGTCCTTTGGTTTGTGCAAATGTGTACCCTGGTGTGCTGGGGAAAATTTACCGCTAGGCCCGTTTTGTGATTGTGATAGGCCCAGGAGAACTAAGGCTCTTTGCTTTACTCTTGATTTGCTAGGTCAAACATATCACTCCCCCAAAAGCTGGATTTGCGATATGAAACAGCATAATCTCTCTTTTGCATCTAGACTGGTATCAGCTGCACTAGCTGGTTAAGAAAAGACCTTGTGGCATTTTGACTGATCTCATGATCAATACTTGAGCGCCTGCTGATGGAGCTTTGTGCAGACAACACTTGGGTCCATTCCAGTTTTGAGGCAAAAGATGTATTTCCCAGTCCTCAATATCCCAGTTTGCATTAACAACCTGGATTTATGAGTTCTGTCAGTGAACAATCCACAGACTTCACACAGAAAATGGACCCCACAAAGGCAATACAGACATTCAAGGCCAAGGAGACATCTTTGGTATGGTGGGTAGAAACGAAAACTAGCATTTTGGTTCCAACACTGAATCCAAGATAGAGGGACCAAGAAGAGCACATCATGAATACCTGGGGCAACTGGAGCATCTGTGAGACAGGATAATGTGTGAAAATATCCAACAATAATGATAAGAATGTGTTATAGTTACAGAATTTTAGCAATGCCAGATGCGGAGAATGATTTGCTCATAGCAGACAGTGAGAGAAACTAAAGATGTGAAACCTAATGCCTCTTAACCTCTCAAAACAAATGCACATGCAGATCATCACATGAAGACAACAAATAAGATAAATTGAGTCCAAACGTCCGTAATACTTCTGAAAGGCTGCCTTAAGCCACAGTGGTCACAATATGGAGTGGTACTCAAAAAAATTCAGGCTTAATAGATATCTTTCTGGAACTTAAGCCAACAAGAAAGAAAAAGTACTTCTTCTGAAGGCACAACTAAACATTTGTCCAAGTTTCTAGTCTATTTCCTGTCCCTCCTAAAATTTGGATAAGTTTACGTTACTGAGGATGTCATTAACTTATACTATAGGGCAGAGGTATCATAAAGCATATCACAATCTTCTAGCAAAGAAATGAAAATATACACTTACTGATCTTCATTTCTGAAGACTCCCCAGACTATGCTGACAGAGATACAAAATACTGCCAACAGCAACATCCGGACCTGTGGACGCTTGTGAAAATAAGGCAAGTTGTTGTCTGGGATTCTGAAAAAGAAACACACCAACCAAACATGAAAAAAGGCAGTCATTTGTAGATCTTCCATTTTGAAGTAGGAAGCCAGTAAATCTATCATCTATCCAACATTTTCAAGGCTTGACAGAGAAAGATTTTGCTTAATAAAATGTGGAAATTGCCACATACCTGCATTTTCCCAATGGGAATCTTCTTACAAAGGGAAACAGACAACTGTAAAGACCAATCGAGGCAGCCAGGCAAAATATTCCTATGATAACATAGACTGAGAAAGAAAAAGTAGTAAGTGCAAGTAGTGTAAGAGAAGAGATACTTCCTTTCAAATCGCAGCTGAACAAAGAACAGACAATCACAAAGCCTGACATAGGAAATAAGGCTTAAAGTCTCATTGCTAAAAGTAACTCTTAAAATGACTCGGTAACAAAATGGGTTGATGCAGATGGGGCACATTTGTCATTTTTTAACAGGCACAAAAATGTTCCTCAAAAAAGTGAGGATGTAAATTTCAGTGTCTTAAGCTCGCCTGTTTTTTTCCCCTCCCCAATCAATTAGATAAGAGTAATGAGTAGAAACTTACATATGTTAAAAAAAAAATACAAAAAACCCTGCTTCCCATATTATAATACCTTAAATTAATTAATAACACAAAGAAGAATAGAGGTCAAAAACTGAAGTCTAATAGTTTACATCTACTTAATAGGTTTTAATGTTTGAAAGAAGCTCTGTGTTCACCTGTTTCAACCTCACTAAAACTAGGTATAGAGATCTAGCCAGCAGTTTTTTGCATGTTTTTAAATCATACTGGCATGAAGAAACACAGCAGAAGACAGCCATTCATAATCATTTTCAGAGTAGAAAGGCTCTTTAAGTGATGACAAATTAGTGGCATTGAAGATTTTTCAATAGAAATAACTTTAATGGTACCTAAGTGGTCATAGAAGAAATAAAGGAGGACCAACATCGAGCAGCACATCACTACAAACACGCAGATCATTACTGGAGTCACATCGACTGTTTCATCATCGTGTTTGTCCGCCCCATCATCACGTTTATGCTTCATGTATCGTCTGAAAGTGTAACATGGATATAGTCAGACCACTCCTCCAATAACATATAAAAGGGCTCTGAATTTTCAGTGACAACCACATGCAGTTGGGAGACATGACATGACAGTAATGGATTGCCACTGCATAGATCCCCACTTTAGTCAGTGGAACTCCACATGTCTACACTGGTACATGAACAGCAGCTTCAACATGATGCATAAAATAGTTCGCTAGATTAATTTATCAAGAGCACTATTTTTAATTTACTAACAACTCTGAACAGAATCCTGCATATTACTGCAGAATAAGTTGCTCCTGTCTCCAGGAGAAATCCTGGAGTCAAATTGTGTATAGCGTAAACATCAGAAATAGGAATGGCATGGATCTCCTTTTCCCCTCCCTTACTTGTAAAAGGAAAGCACAAAATTCCAAGAAAAGATTCATAATAAGCATAGTATGACAACAGTAAAAGATAAATGTTGACATCACATGTCGCAGATTAAGATGTTTACGCTATACCATAAAAACAGTTTCTATGATTTTTAGAAAAGGACTTCAAAGGGGAATCTTTGCCAAAGCACACATCGGAAGCTTATTCCTATCCAACTTTCCTTTTGAGCTTTCTAAAACATTTTATTTGTTGAAAAGGTAAAACACTAGAATAAGCCACATGCAAAATATACTGTAATAATTTTATGTGGTGACAAAGCCAACACAAGGCCTCTCAAATACATCACATCAGCATTCTCCCATTCTAGTTATACAGACCCTCATTAGCAGAGCTATCAGGTTTCTTTAGATAATACTGCCATGTACTTTTTTCCCCTCCCTCTGTGAAAAGTATAATAAACAAACCAATACACTGCATTCCAATTACTCACTTTTTCACATCTCTGCTTCCTGCCCAGTAACCTCCAATTGCCACAGTCCCCACAGCCATGACAAATATAATCACCATGTTGTAGTCTAACACAGGCTCGTTGGGTGCATACAAAGCCCCCTTCGCTGACCTGCCGAAACTCTGCAGAGGCAAATACAAGTTATGAAGATCTCAGTGATCAGTCCTAAGTAGAACCAGTCTGTTCTTCAAATCTCCTAATTTCGTTTTCAATACTACTTTTTTTAGTATAAATAAAAAAACCCATGCAGCTAAATGTTGAAGGCAGTGCAAAGAACAACCTTGCTCTAGCGCTCAAAAATGAATGCAATTAAATGAAACATCTTCCTCTGTGACCTAGAAGCACCACAGACATTTACAGTTCTGCTCCTGTACATATGCAGAACTGTCCATGCACAACTAGGTGCTTCTCTGCTGGCTCAAATCAAGAGAGGATCCAGACATATGATGATACTAGACCCAGTGAGGGAGTTTAAAGTTTATCTAAGTGTCTACATGCCTGTTTTATAGTAATGTGCTCATGAAGTTTTATCTCCTGATCACAAATTGCACTTTGGTTCATGCGATAGAACAGTTTGAGACTTGGGCTGCATTCCTTCCTGGAACCAGAAAAATATGTTCCAGCTGCCAATGGGCATTCCAAGTACATGACCAGATGAGGACTATTCCAAAACAACCCTCCCTGAAACAGGTATAGCATGGACATGGGGTCCTCAGCATCAATTATTTCACTCTCCTTTCTGTGCTGCACTACAGTGAACTTAGATAGGAAGAGTAGGGAGTAGGTACTGAGAAATGAAATTCTGGTCAATTTAAATTTTTAAAACTAGACTCACTAGCATTAGGTTACTGATGCCTAAAAGGTAGGCACTACTGAACAAAATTTTAGGATCCAATTCCTCATCAGGATCTGGTCCTTAGCCTCAGTGAGAGTGTTCTGGTTATAAAATTCCAATGATTGTAACAGTCATGGTACCAGTATCTTTTTCCTCTCAGAACTTGCATGGGTTTTTCGGAACTGTTTGGTGAGGAATCCCTTACTTTTAACAGAAGTATTTTAAGGAGAGTATTCTAAAGAACTTTTGAAAACATGTCTGAAATGCAAAATCCTTATTTTTGCCCTGTCAAAGGCAAAAGCAGCCCAAAAGCCAACCGGATAACAGGAAGTTATCCTACTGACATAAAAATAAACAAATTATTTAAAAAATTATGATTATGACAGTCTTGCCAGACTCAGAAGTGCTGCTGAAGAAATTCACATACAGAAATAGAAGACACAGAACCACCTGTAATGAGGGCCCCAAATTACTTCTGATACTTTTACGCAATTTCGCATGACATTAGTTTTTATTATACAACCTCAAAAATCAAACTTTATTACAAATATTTCAGAGCAAGCAGATTCCAGAAATAAATAACATGAATAGCAGAGGCAGTAGGTTCATTTTGATTTTGTGCAGAAATGAACCCCAAAAATACGCATTTTTTTTCAGGACACTAACTTTTAAACAAATATTATTATAAAAATAACACAATCTTCACGAGTACAACTCAATAGATTTATAGCTCCTAAGATGCACATCAAATACACTGAGCAATGACTCATTTGAGATGGTATGAATTAGAACACTTATTGGGTTTACCTTGCCAATATCTAACATATCGGCGTAGCTGAGCAGAGCCACAGGAATATCAATTTCTTCATATTGACTCCTGTTACCCCCAGGAGGAACCTGCAAGACAGTTCAGATTGGGTACAAATATATTCAATTCGGCAAACACATTTATTCCTCCAAAAAGGTTACAGCTGCAACTTCCATTTCTGTTAATTTGGGAGATATTTAAAAAGGGATAGGACACTATTTATAATCTGAATTATATAACAGAAACTACAGAAGAAGTCGTATTCATAATATACATACATGCACAAATATATTTTTAAGTATATATATTGTGTGTGTATATACATATATATACACATACACACACAAATCAAAAAATAGAAAAAGTTACTGCTACTGTAACAACATAAACAGGCAGTTTAAAGCCTCCATATCACAATCTCAAATCAACTTTAAAGCTGCATAAACATATACAGAAAAAAAATAATGCTGAAATATATATTTTATCAAACATCATAACACAGGCTCAAGTGCTATTGTATATGAAACGACTTCCCTTCTTGCTACCATATTGTATTTAACAGAATAGAAAAATTCAACTACAGATATTTGAACAGTCTAAAAATAATATTGCTATTTAATTGGTATTAGTGTCTACAGCCCTCCTTCTACCATCTATACAACTCTTAGACATCGCTATCGGTGAAATTGCTGGGACAGTTCAAAACATTTATGCGTTGTATCAATCTTCAAAAATGAAGAGACCCTTGCACCCAACAGATTCACCACAGCAGATCGGTCAGAGTTCTTCTGATGGAAGAAAACAGACGGGAACCTGTTAAGTCACAGGACTGAACGGCGTTCACCCAAAAGTCCCAAAAGAACTCTAATGCAAAACTGGAAACTGCTGATGAAGGTGTGTATTATTACAGTCATGGCATCAGAGGACCAAGAGGTAACCTAGTGTAATTCCCACCTACAAAAAGGGTAGCAGAATTAGTGCAAAGCAGAATTAGATTTCCATCTCTGTTAAGATGATGGAGGCTAAAGAGTAAGATGACTGAGCACATTAATACACATGGTCAGCTAGAAAAGAGTCAGCATAGCCTCAGTAAAAGGAAATCCTACCTCACTGACCTCCTGGAACTCTTGATATGTCAACAAGAACGTTGAGGAAGAGAATCCAGTAGACATAGTACAACTGGATTTTCAAAAAGCCTGGATAAGGTTCCACTACAAACGTTACAACAGGAAAAAGTTCTCAGGGTAGAAAGACAGACAGTTTTCTGTAGACAGAAATCTAGTTAAAGAATGGGAAGCAAGGGTAGGACTTAACCCTTACATTTCAGGGATGGAAAAGAGTCAGCTGTAGAGCCCATAATGGATTAGTGCTGGGACTGGTTTTATTCAACATTTTCATCATTAGGGTGGAAGTGTGCAGTAAAAATCTCCAAGTTTGTAGATGATATAAAGGCAGGCACTCAAATGCCATGTCGCTTGCGAGGAATTCCAGAAGGACCTAGCCTAACTGAATGAGAGGAAAAAGATGGCAAAGTCGCTTCAGCATAAACAATTAAAAGGTAATGCATCTCAGGAAAAATCATCTGTCCTATGTCTTCACATTGCTGAATGCAGAACTGGTGGTTTCTAGCCAGAAAGAAATCCTGAAATCATCATTCACAGTTCTCTGAAGTCAGCGGCTCAGCGAGCAGCAGCAGCGCTACTCAGCGTTCAGTGAGCACTACTGCGTGGTCTCCACAACATAAAGAGCTTGGAGGATCTACAGAGAAGGGCAACTAAAGTGGCTGAAGGGACACCTGCTTTATGACGAGACACTAGACTGGCACTCTTCACTTCAGAGAAGGGAAAGGGACAGGGCATTTTCATCCAGATTTATAAAATCACAGTGAATAAACTGCATGAAGAACAGTTGTTCACCAGTCACACAACTCTGTATTAGGGGGCAGCTCTTGAAGCTAGCAAGAGATCAGTTTAAGGAAAAAAAAAACTGAAAAAAAAAAGTTATTTGCTACATAGTGGGCAATGAACTTTAGAACCTTCAGCTACAGAAGACTGTGGAGGCACAGATTCAACATGAGCTAGACAAATTCACAGATAATATATTCATTAAAATGAATTGGTATGGGCATGCTCTCTAGCGTTCCTGAACCCATGATTTTTGATACTCTGAGAGCATGAGGAGAACAGAGAAGAAAAAGTGGCCAGGCTCAGAGGGTCTCTCTAAAGAGCACCTCCTACTGCTGCTATTTGAGAGAGAGTAGTTGGCCACATGAACTACTACTCTGACCCCAGAAAGCACTTCTTATGTTCTTAGGATAACTGTTTAGCGCACTCTGAGGTTTATTTCTGCCTTCTCAATACATTAAGAAATCTAGTGCAATAATGTTTTTTGTTCAATGTTTAAGGGCACAGAGGACAACTCTTCTGGGTCTAAGTTGATTACACAGTGCCATTCATTATATAATCATGGCCTAGGTAAAGGAGTTTGCTTTTGCAGCCTAATGCCTAAAGGGGTAGGAGGGGGTGTCAAAAAACATATTTTGTATGTTTTATTGGAAACAGGCATAAGTTACTAAAGACAGCAACAAAGAAATGCAACAATCAAACTTTAGTGAGAATCTTCTGCATGTCAGATTCGTGGTTTTATGATAGATATCTGTCTCATTCCTGACTGTAGGCTTCAAAAAATATTAATTTCATAAAATATGCATTGGTGATGCTCCAGCTGAATTAAGTCCAAGTCTCACTGAAGGTATATGAATCCAGGAACCATCTTTCACACTTGATTCAAGTATTTCATGAGACGTAAGAATATTTCGAGCCCTTGCTTGGGATGTTACATAAGCTCTATGCAAAACTTACTACTCCAATGAGTACTTCCCCTTGGTTAATCAGTTTTTCCTGTACGATTTTGCACACAGCTATCTGA